CTGTATGATTGCTATCTCCCAAACTAAAATAATCTTCCCAGAAATTCCTCCATAATCCTAGTCACTTATATTTAAAATGTCAAGGTTACTTTTGATCTTTTCCTCTTCCACTGTTTTTTTTTTTTTTTGGGGGGGGGGTGGAACCAGGGATTGAACTCAGACCCTTGCGCTTGCCAGGGAAGCACTTATTCTACTGAGCCATCTCCCCGGCCCCTATGATTAATTTTTTACAACAAAACTCATATCTTCCCTGTCTATTTTTATAGGCACCATCCTAATTGAGAATCTTTGTACTTTATAGGGATTCTGGATTATCATAATATTTATAGCTGTTAAGTTAGCTTTAAATTTTTTCACCTTACCTGCCCTCACACTACTATGTAAGTTCCTAGTATAGTCAATATGGTTTACTTAACATTCAAGAAGACCACATTCTAAGCACTTCCCATGCCATTTCCTCCATCTGGAAGACATCATGCTCCGATTCTTTGAGGTTTATGTTAAACTTTACCTCATCCCTTGTTAACCCAACTAGACGTATTTTCACAGAAAGATAGCACTGAAGGAAGACTCTGTCCTCCATCTGCGAAATCAACTCTGAAAAACCTTCCCTTCCACCCGTAACACTAAAATGTTTGGGGAAACAGACTTAAGGACAACACAAGTATTTTTCTGTCTGAACATTCCTTATCTGGATACATTCTGATCATCTCCTATAAGCCAGAAGCTGTGCTAGCCACATGAACTTAAAATTTAGTGAAAAAGACAGTTTTCACATAAATCAGACAAGTAAATATTGATGACTGCTACAAAGAAAAGAGAAAGGGCAAAGTGCACTGGGGTGGAAAGCCTGCAGAGCTGAGAGAAGGGGGAGGCATGAAATCATTCTATGTGGAAAGACAGAAGCTAACTCAGGTAGAAGCTTCCTCAAGCGGGAAGAAAATCTTTTGAGCAGGGTAAAAGAGTGCGTGGAAATTAACTCTGCTCAAAGGTGGGAGATTTCTACAGGCAGGAGAGCCCAGAGAAAGGATGGTTCAGGGAATTAAACGAAGGCCAGGGTGCTGGGAGTATAACAGGAGGGCTGCAGGAGGTGCAGCTGCACACCAGGGAGGGACAAGGTCATGCTGAAGGTTCCTGGGCTTTATCCTAAGAACAAGGGGGCCTGGAGCAGCGTGCCAGGACACTCAAGTCAGGACTACGGCTGAGAAGCAATTATGAAGGCAGAAGAATTCTAGCTTTAGAATTTCTATGTAGAACTGGAGCATATCCCGTAGCTCTATCACTGTGTGTGTGTGTGTGTGTGTGTGTGTGTGTGTGTGAGAGAGAGAGAGAGAGAGAGAGAGAGAGAGAGAGAGAGGGAGAGAGAGAGAGAGACAGTGAGAGAGAGTCAGTTCTCACCCAAAGTCAAATTAAGGAAATCCTATGAATTTACACTGTAACCATTTTCAGTTGGCCCACTAGGCTTCAACAAGTGGTGTGTGTGTGTGTGTGTGTGTGTGTGTGTGTGTGTGTGTATCTATAAACACTTACAGGATTATGGTCCAATTTCATATTTTTAAAAAGCAAAAGAGAAAACATTCCAAATTATAACAATCCGGTGGAAAGCTTCATTTTATCATTTGACTGTGGGTTAGCACTAAAAGTTTCTTGCCTTTAAGACAGATTTCTTACAAAGGAAAAAAACATTTTAAGGGAACACCAACAAAGTATCTTCCAAAGATTGTTTGAATTGTAACTGATTTTTAGTCTTACTCTGCCTAGTCAAGGTTTGGGTATCAAAACACTATTACCACAAGAAGTTACTTCCTCTGAAGTTTCAGTTCTGTCAATGGCCAAACCTGGAGACGTGAGGATGACCAGCTACCAGGCGCTGTGTTGGGCATTTTCATACCCATCATCTAATTTAAATCCAATGAGCTTGAAAGATGCATAAAATAAGGAAAATATCATATTTTACAGATAAGGAAACTGAGGCTCATGGAAATAAACAATTCCAAAAGCTATACATACCTTAACCTCTGCTGTCCAGTTTGGTGACAGCAAAACTATCTGTGACAAACAAACACGTAAACAGTGGCTAGTTTGATCAAGATGTACTCTAAGTAACACATACCAGATTTCAAAGACAATATATGTACAATACCTTATTGATAACTTTGAATAATGGTAGCATGTCAAAATGACAATGTTTTGGCTACTGTGGCTTAACTGTATTGATAATATTAAATTTACCTGTTTATACTTTTTAAATCAGTTACTACAAACTTTTCAACTACCTATTTGGCTCCCACTACATTTCTGCTGAACACTGCTGACCTGGATGAAAAACTTCATACTAAATGCACCAGTAGATACCAAGCTGAAAGACAAACTGAGCACATGAATGTAAACAGATTCTGGTTTAAAGCTCTTTGACATCAGTGATGGTCTTGGGTAAGATAAAACCAAATTTTTCTGAGCTTTGGGATTATCTAGTATGGTAATATTAAATCTCCTCAACAACTATTGTATAAAATAGGTAAAGCAGCCAACTGGCATACAAAGGACAAAAGACAGGAAACAACTCCTGAATACCTTGTACACCAACTGGTTCCTTTAAAAACTGGTCCTCAAAAGTGGAGAAAATTTACTCATTTGAAAATCATGTTTCATTTTTAAGTGTGAGGAATTAAAGAACTCACATCTACCATAATACTATATGGCTTACACATATATGACACTGTAATAGATGTAATCTATCACTAATCCTCTTTCCCTTTAGATCTAAATTGTGAATAATACTATAGACTGAGAAGTCAGCTGAGACTACAGTGAGGCACAGAAGGGCGCTAGTGTTTCTTATGTATATAATCATTGGACTGCACTGAAAGAGTTTTGAACTCTAATTGAATAATCAAGATCAAGAACTGAGACTGAGTAAAATGGTACCGTGTAAGCAGAATTTTACCTTATTTTTGTTTCCTGGGTCATTGTGCAAACAAAGTGTATTACCAGTACACTGGCAAACCCTGTAGTCTAAGAAAAGTACTATTAGTAAGAAAAGCAACCTTCACTATTTTATAAGAAACTACAAAATTGCTGGGTGTGGTGATGGACACCTATAATCCCTCAAGAGGCTAAGGCAGGAGGGCTGCTGTGAGTTTGACACCAGCTTGGACTACATAGTGAGTTCATAGGGAGCCCAAACTACAGATTGAGAGACCTTGTCTCAAAAAAAAAAAAAAAAAAAGAAGAAGAAGAAGAAAGAAGAAAGAAGAAGAAAGAAGAAGAAAGAAGAAAGAGAAGAAGAAAGAAGAAAGAAAGAAAGAAAGAAAGAAAGAAAGAAAGAAAGAAAGAAAGAAAGAGAAACTATAAAATTATGTGGCCCACTGTCATCTGGGGCTTCTAGCAGTGTATGCACGCATCTCTACATTTTTATATGTATGGGTTCAAATGTGAAGTGGAACAGCTGGAACATTTACTGAGATTATTTGGCCTAAAACTGCCATGTGGCTATGTTCGCTTTCTTTTTAATTGAGAAGTACTGGAGAAGGGGCTAACAATTAAGAATTTGAGTCACCTAAACGTAGCCTCCTAAGTGTCATTTACAGATATACTAAATTCAACGGTCAAAATTGTTCATCTCTCACCTGCAAAACGCCTTTAAGAAAAGAAGACCAGGAAAATAAAAAGCTATCAGTCACACACTGGAGAACAGAGCAGTGATCATTAATGTATTTGGTGTATTTTAATTCGCAATTTAATACAAGAAGTAACATAAACTTGTAGTTCAGCTAATTAAAGGCATACTCAATTAGATGGGGTGGGGAAGAAGGGAGAGGGCCTTTCTTCCATTTTTGTAGGCTGCATTAAAAACTCAGTGCTTATAACAAAATATTTAGCACCTCCTGAGTAGAACGGACTTGATCAGAGCTCTTTGAAACTGGTAGACTCAAACTGACCCATGATGTGCATTACCTACAATATACAAGTAACTGTCTTCCAATTTAGGGATCTAGGTTGAATAAAACAGGAAAACAAAAATGACACAATGTTAGCAGTGTCAACCAATAATGAATGACCTGATAAAACAGTCCTGGAAATTAAAGAATAACTAGGGAAAACAAACAAACAAACAAAAAAAAACCCAACCTACCTAAACATTAGCATTTACATTTCAAAGCTTAAAATTAGAGTGAAAAATAAACTCCATCAATTTAAGAGAACACAACCAAACACACCATTTAAGCTGTCAGCCATTATTTCCAAAATGCATATTGCACAAGGGTTTATCAGGAAAGAACTTAAATTGCATTAAGTTTAAATTTCGTTTATACTTGAGTCAAACCTTTGAAGAAACTTGTTTTATTTCCAGGAATGCCCTTTTTGGGTGGATGAGGAGGGGAAAGTGGTTAAAGGAAAAAGTTAAGCCTAGTGCTCAGTATGAATGGCACATCTACGCCTATACACTAACCTTCTCTCAACCCACTGAGCTGTTCTGTCTTCAAATAATTTGATAATCAGTCTCTAAAGTTTTGCAGAACACCCTGACAGCACTGAAGTCTCTTCTGAGACAAGACCAGTCTCACTCCAGTCGAGCTGACTGTACCAGCAGGATCCGTGTGTGCAGCGTTTGCTGTCAAACGCTGCAAAGGTGGATTTGCGCGTGTTCGTCCCGGCAAGCCTCGCCCAGCCTCGCCCAGCCGCCTTTGCCCCGCACACACCTCCGCGCCCCTCCTCCCCCCCGCAAGTTTTAAACTTTGTTTCTTTCGGGGATCTGTACCAGCGCCACTAATGATATCCAAGAGACAAAGGGCCGTGCTGTGCGGGTTCGCGGGATGCCAAATTTTTTAGTTGTGAAACAAAGCGCTCCGATTTGCGACTGGGGAGGAAGAAGAGGAGGAGGAGGAGGAGAAGGAGGACGAGAAGGAGGAGGAAGAAGGAGGACGAGGAGGATGGAGCCCGGAGCCGGGCCTCTCCCTAGACAGCTCCCCGCCCGGCCCGCCGCCCGGCCCGCTCACCGCTTCACGCGGATGATCTGGTCGCGCATGGGCTTGATGTCCTGGAAGCTCTGCTGGTTGACCAGGCTGTAGACGAGGATGAAGCCCTGGCCGTTCTTGATGTACAGGTCCCGCATGGACGCGAACTGCTCGGTGCCCGCCGTGTCCAGGATCTCCAGCACCGACGGCGACGAGTCCACCTCGATCTCCTTGCGGTAGAAGTCTTCGATGGTGGGGTCGTATTTCTCGATGAAGGTGCCGGTCACGAACTGCACGGTCAGGGCGGATTTGCCCACCCCGCCCGAGCCCAGCACCACCACTTTGTACTCGCGCATCGTCCCTCCGCCGCCGCCGCCCGCGACATAGACCTGCGCCCGCCGCGCCGCCCGGACCTGCGCGCCCCTGCTCACGGGCCCCCGGGCGCCGGCG